GGGGAAGCACGTGGCGCGGCAGGCCTCCCCGCGGCCGCCCCGCCGGCGGGGCGCCGGGGCGGGGGCCCCGCGCCCTCGGGAAGCGGGCAGCGGGGTCGCAGCTCGGCCCAGCGCAGAGGCCGCGGAAGAGCCGCCGGCCCGGAGGGAGGGCTGCCCGGCGGGGCTGGGAGCTGCGCGGCCGAGCGGCCAGCAGTCGGGCCGGCCAGGTCGCCCGGGGTCTCACGTGTCTCTCTCCCCTCTCCTCGCACTTGCCCCTTCCCCCTCCAGACGCCCCCCGCACCCGCAAGAAGCGCTGCCCTTATTCGAAATTCCAGATCCGAGAGCTGGAGCGGGAGTTTTTCTTCAATGTGTACATCAACAAAGAGAAGCGGCTGCAGCTGTCCCGGATGCTGAACCTGACGGACCGACAAGTGAAAATTTGGTTTCAGAACAGAAGGATGAAAGAAAAAAAACTGAGCAGAGACAGGCTGCAGTATTTTTCAGGAAATCCGCTGCTGTAACTGCAGACCTGGCCCTTTGGGTTGCGGGAGAAGGAAAGGGGGAAATTTATTTTATTTTATTTTTTATTTTCTAACTCGTCTTTTTTTCCGCGGGTGGAAAACTGGACTGTGGCCAGGGCTGGCCCCCCACTGCCGTTGCTGGCACCTCCTTCCAGAACCTCCTTTGCCTAGGGTCTAGCTCACTGTAGGCGCAGAGACCCGGACTGGAAAAAGTGGGGGAGAGGATGTCTGATCAGTTAGTGGACCCCGTTGGCGCCAAGGCCCCGAGACTGTTTATTTAAAAGAAAATACACCTTGCAACAAAGTATTGCTGCTCCGATTGGGTGAAGGGAGGGGCGGGCTCAGTGGGCGCCAGAGCTGAACAATCCTTGAACTCAAGCCTTCCCTAGCCCAAGTGAACCGAGCCACTGAGCCACCTGGTCTGCGAGACCTCCCGGTCCCCGCCCCCGGCCCACCTTGCCCCTTGCTTAGGGGGCAGCTAAATGTGATCCTGCCTTGCTGTGAAATCCTGTACCTTTGACCTGGTGTTAGGTGTGCTAAGTCCAAATCCTACCTCCGTCTGCGCCTGGCCCCGCCTGAGCCTAGTTACTGTTCTCACCCTAAACGTGTAGAGCCCTCCACGGAAAACTCCTAACTGGTGCGTTGAGTTGTCCTGACCTCTCCAGGCGGTGCCCCGCCCCTTCCGCGGAGTCCGCGCTAGTCCGTGCGCCTCTCACCTCTTTAAAAGAAACAGGATTGGGGTGGGGGGCGCGGGAAGGCGGCTGGGCACCTCTCCCAGCTGGGCTGAAGTTTTGTAAATATGTTTCATAAGCCTCTCTAGCAGGAGAGGAAGCGGGGTTCTCATTTCCCACCTCTATCCATGTGAGTGAGTGCGTGTGTGTGTGTGTGTGTGTGTGTGTGTGTGTGTGTGCGCGCAACTCCCGCCCTGCCCCTGTCTTAGAGGGATTGCTGTGATTTTTTTTTTTTTTTGGTGTGGCAAATAAAGATATTTCATTCTGTTCGATATTATGATTTTATTTGACCTTTTTATTAACCCCTCTCCTCTTTAAAACCTCCCGTGCTCCCAAGACAGCAGAGGAGGTGGTGGAGGGGAAAGAGGAGGAGGAGGAGGAAGAGGAGGAGTAGGTGGCAGTGGAGGCAGCAGTGACATTGGAGGAGCCCGCTGTTGAGAAAGGTCTTCCGAGATGATCCCAGCCCCACTGGTTGGAGCAGGAGGCAGCCGAAGACTGCTTCAGCTTTGGGGCTTACTTCTAAATTCTTTTTTTTTTTTCTCACATGCGACTCGAGCTGCGTCCAAATGCCCAGCAACGCTTTCTGTTTAAGTGCACGTTTGTTGTGGAGTTAATTGTAACCATCATCAAATTTAAATTTATAGGAATTTTCTTGGCTCCACCACCCTCCCGCCAGATGTCTGTGTCTGTCACAGTCAAATATGTGGAGCTGCAGGCTCTCCTCTTTCTCTCCCTCCCTCCCTCTCATTGGAATTTTAATACACAGTTTTAAAGGAGGAGGTGAGAAGAAGACAAACCAGCCCCCTCCATGTCTTCTTCACGGCCTCTAGCGGTGGGAAGATGGGCCCATTTCCTTCCCCTTTAGCCCAAATGGTCAGGCTCCCCCAGACAGAACTAGACACCTAGGCTGGAGACAGCCTGACTTTTATATATTTGATGTCCTAGAATGAAAAGCCTCAGAGATGTGTTTTATAGGGATTAGTGAGGAGAGGGGCACTGGGAAAAGAGGTGGCCTGTGGGGACAGTCTTCACTCCAGTCTATAGTTGTGGCTTTTGTCTCTTCCGTGGAAAGTTGACTAACCCTTTCAGTTCTCTCAGGAAGGACACTCACCTGTCTCTTCTAAATTTGTTATTTGAGGTAAGAGGTTCAGAGCCGACGATCTCATCTTCTCTCTTTCTGTTTTTATGGATTTCCAAGAAAATGTTTTCACCCGTGCGTCTTTGTTGAATGAAAGGAAGAAGTAGCTGGGTCCAAAATATGGATATTGCTCTGTTTTGATGGCAGCTATTCCTGAGGCCTCGTGTCTGAAGCTCTAATTTGCAGTGTGGCTCTTTGAGAGTTGCCAGCTTGGGAGTGTGGTGGCTCACAGTCTTTCATGTGCTCACAAACATTTCACTATTCAAGGCAGTGTCCTTACGTGTGCACTTCCGTCTGCGTGGAACAAATGTGACCTGATACACACGGCTGATGTCCTCCTTGGTGTGTGAACACCGTCAGTATTTAATGAACGTAGTAGGGACACAACTGAGGGCCTTCTGTTTGTGTACGAGGGGGGAGGGGTCTTGAGATGTGATGTTTATTCACTATATACAGCTATATCATGGACTGTTATCACGCCAGCTGTATTTTCTACATAACAATAGACAACCACAGGATAACAACCCTACTTAAAAAAAAAAAAAAAAACTATTAGCCTCCAAAGGACTCCTGATTTTAGAGAAAAATATTTAAAACTTGTGGTTATTACTTTCCCACAAATATACAGTCCAGAAAATAATCTCTTTCAGGAAATATCTCTGAAGGATGAGAAGACAGTAATCACTAAAGAAAAACAAAGGCTGAGTCCAAAAACCTGCCAGTCTGCGGTGACCTAGAGAGAGAAAGAGGGAGGAGGGAGGGGTTTCTGGCCCCCAAGCAAACCCACCTTCAAACTCTGGGGACGTCCCACCCCCCTTGCTAGCAGGAGCACTCGGGGCTCAACTCCTTGGGGTAATCCCCTCCAGCCGCAACGCTGCCCTGGAACAAAAGACCGCAGTCTAGACGCCGCCATAAAGCGTCCCGAGCCTCTAAACCCAGTTTCATTTCGCCCTTAACGACCCAGTCTGGCCTGTGTTAGAAAACGCTTCCGTCCTAAACAGTAAACAAACCCACAGTGGATGGCCTCAGCTCCCCCAACACCCCCCAGGCGCCCCCACCTCCTCATCCCTTTGCCCCACATTTTCCCTCTTTTCCTCCAGCCTTTCTAAGCTCTCAGCTCCCCACCCCCAAGTAAATAAACCAGAGGCCGAGTTCAAAGTTTCCTGGAGCTAAGGAGGAATGTTGGTTGTAAAAATCCAAGTTTATAGCGCACGTGGGAGTTTACAAGGATATTAAGTGGTGTGGGCTGAGAGAGCTCTCTGGGCCCACCTCCTTTCCACTATGCGCTTTGGGGGGTGCAGGGGGAGTCAGGGTCCCTTGAAATGAGAAATTGCCTGGAAATAGCCTTGGATTTCAAGTTTCTTTGTCACTCAGACCCTAGGTGGCTGGGGAAATGCAAAGCCTTGAAGGTGGGCCTATGGCAGCCACCCTGAGAAAGGTCCTGGGTTCTATGTTTCCCAGATAGAGAGACTGGAAAGCTCTCCTAGGAGGGGGGGGGAGAAAGCGTGAAAAGTGCAGCCCAGGTACCTGAAAGCTTAGAGAGCTGAAGTAACCCATAACCAGCTAACCAGAAGGGAAGGAGCTACCTTGAGCTCATTTCTTGAGAAGAGGGGCCGGTCCTCAAAAAGGCAAAGCAGAACTTTGAACTTCAAGGGAGTCAAGGGCACTGCCCCTTCCTCCCTCACCCGAACCCTCCCGCCCCTCGTAGGAATCTGTAGAGCAATATTCCCTGAAGCGAGTAAGGCTGTTTACTAAACTCTTCCTGTCCAGAGTAGCCTATAGTGTGCACGCGACTACACTCTTTATTATTCATATAAACCCCTAGAGAAGGCGACACCCTGGAAGTTTTTATAACTTTGTTTGGCATAAAACTTTTACAAGATTCTCCCTCCCTAAAAAAAAAAAAAAAAAAAAAAAAAAAAAAAAAAAAAAAAGCTTAGTTTAGGTCTTGCCACAGGATGGAATTTTAGAGAAGAGAAAGATGAGCTCCAAGGCTTCACCATCTTTGTAAGGGGGTGTTTTTCTTTTTTGGAGGAAAAAAAAGGGGGGCTTGAGAGTCACCAATCCTTCTTGAGGTCTACCTAGGACCTGGTTTTGGGACTGCTAGCTAACAAACGGAAGCTGCAGGCCTTCAGGAGAGCTATCTACCATGCATTCAGGATGCACTCTGCAGATCAACAGACTTCGTAAATGCCAGCTGTGTAACAGACCTTCGCAACCACACCCTGTTTTCTTGCTCGATTCTCTCTGTGTGTCTGTCTCTCTGTCTTCTCTCTCTCTCTCACATGCTCACACACCTTCCACCCATGTTTGGAATAGTGAAGTTCTATAATCCTGGATCAAACCCCTAATTTGGGGGTGGGCGCTTCTGCATACACAACCCTATCCCTGTTGCCTGCAGGGTTTAATTAAAAAAAAAAAAATCCAAATGACAGGAAATTCTTGCATAGCGGTTGAAGTTGCTGTAGAATCAGGGCGGCCTAGACCAGCCGGGCTACTGTCCTCCTGCTTCCTTTACAGAGAACAAGAGTACTTATGTAGGGACATGGCCTTGAAAAGCCAACTTCCACATGACCCCTTGAACCTGCTTTCTACCTGAAACTTACAAATCCTCAGTCTTTCACTTCCCTAATCCACTGCTGAGAGCAGAAATGAGTTCATCTTTAGTCTATTTAGTGTCCAGTTCCAGAATCAGAACAGGTAGAAGAGAAGTTTCCTCTAATTGTGGCTCTGGTGGACCGAGAGTCATTAGTAAGATGGAAATGAAGACATGGTGGCATTCCAAGGAGACTTTGGCACAGACGGAGGGGTGCCTCTGAATTCCCTACCCTCCAATGGCGACTCTGAGGCCTGGCCACCTCGGCTGGCCGACTGTGGCTCACTTAGCTTTTCAAGCAGCTGAGCTGAGGCTGAACGCAGAAGGTCACCTCCAAGCCGAGCAACTGGCATAAGGAGGCTTGGAACCAGCTTGCCATTTCTTCCCATAACTCAGCACAACACAGAGAAAAAAAAAAAAAGCCTTGGGTGGGGGGGGGAGGATTAAAAGTCGGTGGGAAGCAAGGAGTTGAAGAAAGCAAAGAATAAAGTTTATAATAAAGAAAGAAGAAAAGTGGAAAGGAGGAAACAAAACA